ATTGTAATTTCCCATGTTCAGTGAATGCAACACAGAGGCAAGACGACGCCACCAGACCAATCAGGGAGTTATATGGAAATAAACGTGTTTTATTGGCTGACAGGTACCTTACCTCTCCTCTGTGACAATGTTTAAACTTTAAACTGTCAGCCCCGGACGCGGAGATTCTGAAGATGGACATTAGACATTTCTTTAATAAAAAAGACGGCAATTCTCAAGTGGTGGGTCACACAACAACCCCAGAGCCACCACCTGAGCCAGATGAACAAGGTGTCAGTAAACTTACAAGTTATGCGAACATGTAAGCAAAGCATAAATTATAGCTACGTTGACGTTATTTTGAATCGCGCGGGTAAGCTAAACCGTTAGCAAGTAGCTATAGCTAGCCAGATATATTAAATAAACACTTTGTCATACAATCTAAATGTTGTGTTTTTTTAGCGTTACTTGGTGATTTCAAAGAAAGCTCTCTGGGAAATGTTGACTTACTGTCTGTGTTCGACATGAAGCTAGAAGCTACCTTACAGTAGTACACAGTTGATCCTGAGTCCTGTCAGTTAAAGTGTTTCATAGTTAGCTTAGCTAAGCATCAACCTAGCACTGAAATATATATGGATGTTATGTGACAGTATTTCTGAGAAAAAGTCAGCTGAAATGGTGGCATAGTTGCCACTGCTTTACGTGTCGACAGCATGTTTGAACGTATTTGCAGCAGTAAATGTGGCTGTCTGGCCACTGACGTTGCCATAACAACACCTGCATTTAAATGTGCAACCTCTTTTTGTGACAGATTTTGCATGAAAATATAATTCTTCTGATTTATATTTCCTATTGACAGCTAGTTTCTATGTGAACATTATGAGATGGACAGCCAGCTAACAAGCTTTTTATACAAATATTTCAGATCAAAGCCAATCCAGTGGGGCTCCTGAAAGGGAGCAAGGGACATATGCTCCCAAATATTAAGCCTTGACCCGCATCTTAAAATTGATATGATCAAAAAATGATCTGCATTGTCAGAGGCCTTTTTTCCTCATTATCATGTCAAATTGTACAGCTTTCCTTAGTGTTGAATGCAGAAAGATGACTATATTAGAGTATTAAGTGAAAATGACTATATTAAAGTTTTAAGTAAATATATTAAGTGAATTACTCAAACTGCATTTGTATAGGAATGATTCTGTCCTATTGGCAGACAACTACTCTTAACAGTGATATCTACAAGAGATGTAAATTTAACTATTTTCAATTGGTTAGTATTACATTTTGTGACAGTGTGGTGACACTCATTTTAATGAAGACAAATGTGTGTATCTTGAAATTCATTTATTTGACAGAGCTGGAAACTGATTGACTTACATACTTGTTTGTGTTTACCAACACAGTCATCACAGATGAGCCAAACAGAGTAGAGGATGAAGAAAGGGGAACAGGAGAAAGGGACACACAAGAAGGAGATACAACAGACAAGAACAACAATGGAGACAACAATGAACAGGAACACCAGAACAGACAAGAGTCAATGGGTAACATGACTGATTTAGGGACTGCAGATACAGGGCCAAGGCAAGTGAGACATCACTGCTTTCCATTTGGCCAGCAAAAGAGATCATTTCAAACGGAAACAGCAAGAGATGAGGGATTATTATTTCCTCCTTCCATCCCTTTTTTCTGTTTAATCTGATTACTAACAACTTCTAATAATTTGACATAGTTTATGATTTAATTGGAAAATGAAGTGTTTTTAAATAATAAACCCGTTTCTGATTCTGATTCTTTGATTTATTTTTGACATATGGGTGTTGAGAGATGTATCATATCTCTTAATGTTGCTCTCAAAGTGCACAAGATTGATGCTTTTAACTTCAATATTTAAAAAAAGTCTTCCTGGGGGACCCCAGAGGAGGTGAGTTCCCTCAAAATAGCACTTTATCTCTGCTTATGTAACTCCGGTGTAGTGTCCCCTCGGCAACAGATCACTCAGAGCTGGTGATTACTTTCCTGCATTTCAATGGACAGCATATAAAAAGGACACGTAAGCTGCATTGCTTAAGAGATCCTCTCATGCTATCTCTTTTACAAAATAAGTGTCCAGTCAACAACAAAACATCAGTGATCGTATAGTGGTAGTATAGTTTTCACAAGCAATGTGAAACATTAAACTTATACAAACTGGTGTACAAAACTCACATACCTGCGTTGATCTCCTGGAGTGTCTCTACTCTTTCTTCTCCACATCTCTTGTCCACCATCAGAGATTGCAAACATTTCAGAAACAGCTAGAGGTAGGGGACAAACAACTTGTTCGCTGGGCATGTCAAAAACCTCCTACTTTGATCAAGACTTTAGGGAGCCTTTCAGCCCCTCTAGTAAAGGGACTGGAAAGCAAGCTTTGAAAATGCAGTACCATCTACATGCTGTCATGTTCCAGACACTGCTCTCAACCACTCAGGGCCTGCTTAAATACCTGCAGAAAGAAACAATTGACTTGGTGCAGGCAGTAGATTACAAAACAGCAGTTGAGAACACACTGAAAAGTTACCGAAGTAACGAGAAAGCACATGAGGTCTATGACAAGACCAAGGCCCTGTGCAATGATCGTGATATTCCCGAAACTGTGACACAGAGGAAGAAGCATAGAAACATGGAAGACTTTGTAGTCAAGGCATCATGTGGAGCAATGTGAAACATTACACATAAATACACTGGTGTACAAAACTCACATACCTGCATTTCAATGGACAGCATAAAAGGACACGTGAGCTGGGTTCTGGTGCTCAGATTAGCTATTGATGATCACGTTGATAAATCATATAAAACAAATAGCCAATCACTAGGGGTGTAATGGTACACGTACCCGTACCGAAATTATTCGGTACGGGCCCTTCGGTTCGGTACAGGTGTGTACCGAAGTGTACCGAACGAATATAACGTTAAACGTAAAAAATTGAGAACGTGAATAACTTTTGGAAGTAATCTCAGGTGCTGCGTCGCAGCATTCAGAGTAATTTGCTCACATTGGGTTCAACGCGTCATAGAGCGAGCAAGTCATTTCATTGGATGAGAGGCATACTATGAGAGCTGGTCAGAGGGATGCGTTCAAATGTAGTCAGTAATTTGAGGAACTGTCGAAATGGCGAAAGCAGATAAAGTTGAGCTCGAAAATCCTCCAGCATCATTGAAGTCTCCGGTTTGGGAACATTTTGGTTTCGCAGTTACGAACAAGGATGACGGACAAAGACAGGTGGACTGAACCAAAGCTGTTTGTCGGCATTGTTCAACTAAAATTGGTTACGCGGCTGGCAATACATCAAACTTGCACACTCTTGAAAAGGCATCACCCGAACGTGAATATCACCGGTACCAAAAGAAAAAATGACTGAAGTGCAAACCCAACTCCCACTAGCATTTAAGCCTCCACCACTCGCAGAGAGTTCAGACCGAGCCAAAGCTATTACAAACGCCAAATATCCTTATGTTGCCATGTTAGCAAAGCGCTACCTGGCTGTGTCTGCTACCTCTGTCCCTAGAGAGGGTGTTCTCCACAGCAGGAGACATTGTTAGTGCCAGCAGATCTGCCCTTTCGGCAAGCAATGTGGACAAGTTCATCTTTCTTTAAACAACATGAAAATACAATGACAAGCAAGTCATAATGTCAAACTGGCTGCTTAGGTGCTAGTACAGTTCAGTTCAAATACAGATTATTTCAGTTCATCGACATGCTGCACCTTAATGTTCATTTTATTATATTTTGTATTTATTTGAGTGAATACATTATTCACAGTTTAATAATAATAATAAAAATATATATATATATATATGTTTTGTTTTGTGAAAAAAAATTCTGCTGTACCGAACCGAACCGTGACCAAAAAACCGAGGTACGTACCGAACCGAAATGTTTGTGAACCGTTACACCCCTACCAATCACACAAAAAACATGTTGCTGTGACTGTGAGCATTAAACAATTAACATTAAACTAAACAAACACAACAGTACGTTATTGTCCTTATAAAATAAAAACATACATTTTGTCCACCGAGATAATACAGGCACCTTACCCTCAAGAGATCCTCACATGCTATGAGAATCTCCCACAATCCATTGCCGTAACAAAGCTAATGCAGGCACACGTTTGTGACACCAGATGGCGCAATTGTGTATGTGCGTGTGGGGAGTCTTGCAGTAGAACATTTGACTGTAGCGCCGCCACTGTGGGCTAAGCCCCGAATGTTTCCAGGTCCAGGCGACGCCCCTGGTTAAGGCTAATAAAAATGACAAGGCTAAGGCTGTAATGCTAACTAACGTGCTTGCTACTAGCTAGGTAGCTAACTTGATCCAGCCACTGCACTAAGCTGGTTCAGGTCTTATCTATCAAAACGGTCTCAGTTTGTATCTGTCAACGATGAACCCTCATTACAAACTACAGTCAGTCATGGAGTACCGCAAGGGTCTGTTGGACCCATCCTGTTCATCATATATATGCTACCATTGGGCAATATCATAAGGAATAACTCCATCAATTTTCATTGTTTTGCAGATGATACATTGTATCTATCTATTAAACCAGATGTACAATTTCCATTAGTTAAACTGCAAGAATGCCTCACAGACATAAAGGCATGGATGACAAGCAACTTTCTATTATTAAACTCCGACAAAACAGAAGTCATTATACTAGGCCCCCAGCTATGGAGGACGGAACATGACTTAAGTATAAATAAATAAATGTATGAAGAAATACAGGAATAAATAAATAAATACGTAAATAAATAAATAAATACAGGAATAAATAAATACAGGAATAAATAAATGACGAAATAAATACAGAAATAAATAAATGTTGAAATGAATACACAAATAAATAAATAAAAGAATAAATGCATACATAAATGCATAAATAAATATGGAAATAAATACATCAATGTATAAATAAATAAATCCTAGCCGAAGTTTCAAGACTGTTTGGCCCCTACATGGGAGGGAGGAGGATGGCAGGGCGGCAAACCCTTTCTGGTCCTGCACACCTGCATTCTTATACCCATTTATTCTGTTGCCTTGAGGACAAGAATGCAGCCTTAGTCCCCAACCGATACGCCAAAGAAAGACTCGCTGCTGCTGGCTTTGGTGAAAAACGGCTCACATTTAAAGGTTTGTCAGTCATTAGAATGACGATTATCAATCGCTCTTTTCTTTTCTGTCTATTTTTTATGGTAAATGTACATTTGTGATATATAAATATATTGAGTTACCCTTACAATCATAACATTATCTTTATGTTAGATCTCTTATGTGTATCATCTATTTCTAGGCAGCCATACAGATTCAAATGAATTCCTCGAATTCTTGATGGATGCCTATCCAAAACTGCGGAACGGTGGCGGTTTCGAGTTGCTAAAAATATCTGGCACTACGAGAAGTCGCCACTTGATTGTGATCCCCTGTCCCAATGAGGGTTACTATGTCAGATATTTGAAGGACCCTCAGACCCAGATTGGCCATTCTACGGTTTTCATTAGACCAATGCAAAGAACCCTGAATTTGGACCCTGTAAGTTCCTCACATCTATAGTGGTGTCACAATATTAAAGTGGAACCTGTGACTTACAGTAACATAATTGTTCGCTTGTGATGTAGTTTAAAACTATTTTGTTTACAGGCATGTCGATCAGAAGGCGACAACGTGTTAATTGGACCAAATCAGAAATGTGTCATCTGTGGAGAGGAGTTCCCCTTTTCCAGAATCAAGGATCACAGCAATAACGGCATGAGGTATTACTCTCTACAGAACTAAACATCACATTCGCCAGGCACACTGCAACTGCATGTGTATACACACAATAACCAATAAGCATAAGGCTGTGGGATGCTGCAAATGGATGTAAAATATTTTGACATATCAGCACATCTGAGGTGTTATAATTATGGGGCCAGATATTAGTACTTTTTGTTCCAACAATCCCTCTGTAACACCATATTCTGCTGTCCTCTATAATACATTTAAATATGAAAGATATACATTCTGGATGTTAGTTTTGAGGAAAAGTAACATTTGGTTTACTTGTCATTCTATTTATATGCCCATCTTTTTCTAGAGTGTGATATGTAATGTAAAGTATACTAGACCGAATAACAGAAATAACCTCTTTTTACACTAGACCATCACAGAGCAGCGGTGAGGTACAGATTGAGTTGACAACTGAAAGGGCCTCCGGAAGTCAAGTTAGATTTGAAAGCACGTTCACAGGAGCACAGGGAAATGAGACAACAAGGGCCAGGAACACAAGACACTTGGTGCCACCTCAGGAAATGTTGCCTTCTCCTGAGGTAGTTGACATCGATCCCACTGAGGAAAGTGGCTTCTCTGGTGTGTAACATCCTTTATTAAGTACATCATGTATTGCAATAAGTTGTTGCTCTCTACATTTCACTTGATCCAATATTAATTTGGAAACCTTTTAAACTATTTTTAGATTGGAGAATAGCGCCAGATCCCACAGAGGCAGCAAAGATGTTTAAAGAAGACATTTTAAGCCAGCATGCAACTGGAAAATCCTTGTGTCTTACTATGGATCTTGGAGACAGTGCAGAGGAAAAGGAAAGAGCAGTCCTTACTTTTTATAAGAAGGCAAATGTTGAGTGGGCTTGCCCCTTGACATGCACACTTAAGGGTAATTCGGTTACAAACAAAATCCAAGATAAAAAAATGAACAAACCATATTTTTGTTAAACTGATGTCTGTAGTGTGTGTGTTTACATTTTTAAGGAGATCCAGCCATTGGTGATGGTGTGACTCGGCATTTCTTTGCAACCATCATGTCAAAACTTCAGGCTGGTTTTGAGATGAAGTTTGGTAAGTAAATATTTACTATGGCTGATCGCTGGGTCTCAGCCACTAAGTTATGTGTATTTTTGTACCAGTTCCAGGCTGAAAACAGATCTGTCCCTTAACCCCAGAAAACAAAACGTATTCCTAAAACCTGATGTGATTGTAGCTGCTGTGAACATGTAGGTTTCTACAGGATCAACCACTATCCAGTGGCGGTTTGATAATTCCTTTACTAATGCTTTGTGATAGTTGAATATTTATGTCCTTTACTTTACTATCAATTTACTTTGACTGTTTTCCTATATTTGCAGTGCCTGGAGGAACTCTTCTTTTTGAAGGTGTTTAGAGTATTGAGAGGTCCTGATAATTTATTCCGGCAAATTATTCTGACCTCCTAATTGACCTTTCCGAAGATTATTGAGTCTATGTAAGTTTGCTGCGTGGCTCAGATCCACCAACGTCAGCAAGATCTCACCTCTACTAACTTCCCGAAGAACCAAGGTTTCAATTAACTGCTGTTTCAATTCAGACAACTCTTTTTTAATCTGTTTAAGCAATCCCGAAGGATTTTGATATCAGTAAATGGAGTGTGCTCCTACCTAAGTGTGTGTGGCAGGGTGCAATCTTACCTTTGACGCAGGAGAGGAGGGCACAGGTGTCTTTTAAAGGATCCCAATCCAACAGGTGGGATTCAGTTTATTTGAAGAAAAATAGGTCCAAACTAATACAGGGTTTTTACCTTCTCTCTCACAACATTATAATCATACTAACAAAAACACCGTGCTGTGATCATGTTCAAATGAAACTTTAATTCACAGTCTTACATTTATTACCAAAATGTTTTAATTTCAACTGCCCATTTCAGTTGTGACATTTTAAAATTCTCCCGATAGAATTTAGAGGTATTTCCTCGTAAAAAGACCGGTGACAATAAAAAGCGCATTCAACTTTTCATTCACCCATTTATTCACATCAGTTTTCATACACTTTTTCCGACACAGACGGCGGATTAACACTCAAAAACCCATTCCTATCCGCAAAATTCGAAGGAAGGTCCTTACAGGTCGCGGTATTTATAATTTTCAAACACTTTTTCCGACACAGACGGCGGATTAACCTTTCAAAAACACATTCCTATCCGCAAAATTCGGGGGACCAGATGTTTTCCCCACAGGTCGCGGTATTTATAAAGGTTCACACACTTTCTCTCATCAAATCATTCCACTCAGCCAACAACCAATAAATTCGAGAGATATTTACCCCGTCTAGAAGGACCTTACCGAGAGCTATTAACCCAGCTCTGAAGCACACAGCCTACCCGAAGAGAGTCTACCAGGGGTCACCCCCCCTCTCTCGCGCTCTCTCAAAAAACCAGTCTCTTTATGCTAAAAAAACTGGATCCTAAACCCAAAAAAAACAAACTCCTCCTCTTACACCCAATTCAGTTGAAAACCGCGCATGCGCATAATGTACAAGGCTGAACATGTCCCAACATGTTCCACAGCTGTTATGGGATAAGACACCCTTTCATATGAGGTAAAAAGGACATGAACTCTCTTTGGCCTCTTAATGTTTCTCCCCTTAGTGTGAAGCCCCCCCCCCCCCCCCTCTCTCTGGACTGCTGCCAGAGGAGAGGAAGAAAACTCAACCTAAACAACCCACTTGGTTTTGTTTATACTGTAACTATAGAAAACCTAAAATATGAAGCATTTTCATTGTGAGTTATACAAGAATATAATTGATTATATTTGATTATAACTAACTTTCGTTTTTAAGTATTAAACATACTATGAAAACTCACAACACCCTCTTTTCAAAACGCAAAGTTCTCAAATAGCAACAGAAAAAATTGTAAGCATAGATACATATTCAAAAACCGTCAAGAAGCATTCTCATTATGGGTTTATACAAGAATATGATTGATCATGTATGATTTATAATTAACTTTCGTTTTTAAGTATTCACTTCATTCCATGATCTCAATTAACTTTCGTTTTAAGTATTCACTTCATATGAAGATCTCAACAAGGGGAACAAGATCATCTGATTCCCTCCACTTCTCATCTCCTTTTGGAGAGTGACTTCTTTGTTGTTGCTGGCCGAATGATTGGATATTCATTCCTCCATGATGGGCCATGCCTAGGTGGACTGAGCCCAGCTGTCCTGCATGTGCTCTTTGGTGGATCCCCGGAAGAAGCCACAATATATATTAAGGACTGTGTTGACCTTGATATCCGTGAGACAATCAAGTTGGTATGGTCAATTTTTTTCTAACCTATTTTATTATTCAACCTTTGGATATTATTTATTTAGCTGATCTACTTTCAGATACTGTTAACATCAAGTGGCTACACTTTGCACCAGCAGGGGTTACTGAAGCATTATAAAACACCATGCACTGATATATTAAATATCATTAGAACACTTACAGATGTCCTCCTATAAGATGTTTTTTGACAAAACATAGCTTTTACAGGTTACCAACTAACATGCTGATTATAAGTTAAACTTCTTATGTTGTATCAAAGTTGAATGTTTATACAAGTATTGAGAAATTAACGATTCTTATCAAATTCATTCTACTTGCCATTATTAGCTGGAGGGAACAGCAGAGTTATCATCAGAAGAAAAAAAGCTCATCAATGAGTTGGCACTGTCCTGGGATTTGCCTCTAGTCACATGTGACAACAGGAGATGGCTATTTGATAAACTGATCCTCCATGCTGTGAGTATTCTTAACAGGTCATATGAATCAGACTGACTAATCAGAGTTGAAGTTTTGAAGTAGGACCTCATTTTGGCATATCACATTTGAGCTTTTTTGTTAAATACATATTTGGATGTTAATAGTGTATTAAAACATGCTTATTGGGCTATTAGATCAATCAGGCTGCTTTGCTTTTCTACTGTGATGCAAATATTGTGCAGGTCCTTGGAAGAACCTCCAGACAAGTCAAGCAGTTACGAAGGGGTTTAAAAGAGACACTGATCTGGCCTCTGCTGACGGAGAGGAAAGACACGATTCCCCTTCTTTCCAAGAGCATCTGATTTGCAGTGCACACCACGGGTAAGTGATCTCATGCTGCTCAGTCAAATCCTTCCTCCTAACTCACAGGAGTTAGAAATTGGGTTTATTTACTACTCTCAGACCTACATTGCTTTAAGTTTATTAAAACAAACATTCACCTACGCAAACATATTTTGAAATGAAATGATGCTACTTGCTGCTTAAAAGGAGCTAAACCAATAGAACAACTGTATCTTTAGACTACTCTGCTGCTACACAGCAAAACCTGCAGTTTCTTGTATGTTCTGTTTATTATTGTGCTTTCACTGGGCTCCTTTCAAAACGAAATCTGTCAGATGGTGTTGGAGAAGATAAACTGGCCCACACAGGATGAGGATGAAGACAGTGAAGTCTCTTTGGAGGATTCCTGTAGGCTCACAGGATTCCTGCGCACATTTATTGAGATGGGTAAAACAACGTCTTCAAGCTTTGTTTACTGAAAGTTTGTAATTATTATAACGAAAGCTGCGCTTCCTCTGTTTTTATCTTTAAAGATACAGTAACAATCCAAGGCGTAATTTAAGTAACATTATTGTTATTTAACTATTAACTGAAAGCAATTATAATAAAATGAATTTATTCTCTGTTTTATAAAGCATCTCCCGTTATCCTTGGGAAACTTGTGCAGTTCTGGATAGGATGGAATGTGCTTCCTAGACATGGCCTGGATGTGACCGTGGTGGAGAGCAACTTCCCCAGCTCTTCCACATGCTTTCACCAGCTGAAACTTCCAGGACATTACAAAGAGTACTGTATGTTTGAAAGGGACATTCTTGCTGCTATTTGGAGCACTGAAACTGGGTTCGGGATGGTCTGAAGAGACGGACACACCTTAGTACTAGATTTGTTGTCTTTTGTTTGGCCGGCCAAAAATTTATGTTTTCAGAGAGGAAAACAAACTCAGTTAATGCCTATACTCCGGCCAGTTTGTGTAACACTGAAAATATATAAAGATAAACATGCTTTCCTTGTTATTGCACATAACAAAGAAAGCATGTTTATCTTTATATATTTTCAAAGTTTTCAATTGATATTCGTTACAAAATGTTCATTAACTGTAACAAATGTATATTTCTTGATGCATTACAGTAAGTGTTGATTCACAACAAGCATATGGTTCAGTGCAACACATGTTTCAAATGACTACTGAACGTAACTTCATTACCATCTAATTTTTATTGTATTAAAATCGAAATATACTGAATCTTGGTACCAGCGTCTTCATGTAACTCAGTCAAATATTGTCACCTAATCGTCCTAGTCGAAACTTTAAAAGACTACATTTCCCACAGCAACAGACTTTTGATACACACACACATTTACTGTAGCATTTCAGTCAATAAGCCCACAGTTTGTACATAGACATTCCACACATTGGACAGAGGGCCATCAGGGTCTGGAAGTCTTTCCACTTCCTGGTCAGTCAGTGAACGTTGCAGCTGAACTTCAGGAACCATAACATGAGGCAGGCGATGAGCACATGGTCCAGTCCAGTCAACTCCAAACTCAATGTCAACCTGCAATTGCAAGAGCTAAAGTTAGAGTCAACCAAAATCAAAGTTTTAATATATTTGTCAGTTAATTCATTTTATATAACCTAACGTTTTGTATCATCTCCTGGAATTCCTGATTAATGTCTCATGAACAGCTATGACATCAATCAAATAATTAGAGAGAGCAGAAAGCCCTGATGTATCATTATCTTCCTTAACCGCTTGTTCTGGTTGATCACAGCATTTTAGGAATACCTCATAGAAGTGTTTAAAGTGCCGATGATATGCAGAATAAAATAATTCCATCACATTCAGTTTCCTCGACAACAGGCCACTATTTGTTACATTGTGCAACTATATGCACTTTGGAATGGACCTCACTTTTATTATTTGTTTTAAACAGTTTGTGTAATGACAGAAAAAGTGGGTATTAGTGTTAACATGGTCCCATGTAGGAAAGTAAAGTAAAAGTCAAAATAAAACTATTGAATACAATCAAACCTGTATATGTTCCTGCTGGGCCTCACGCTCATGGCGAGTCCACAGTTGCAGTGGGGACCGGTTTCCCTCAGTGCTTAGTCGGTGGCAGTTCCAGCCTTGCTGGAAAAACTGCAGGTGCTTCTGTATGTGGGGCACAAAGCACCAGTGCAGAGCATAGAGATGCACTTCACAGTCAGGATTGAGAAGGCCTTCTCTCTCTAGGTTGAAAAACATTGTGTAGAAGAGATCCAGCACTCCCACATAAACGTCTCTCCAGAGCCTTTCTATCCTTTTGAGGAAAAAGGAAGGAAAATATTTAGTCTGCTAAGTGAACAAAAAAAAATAACTTACAAATATCACCTTTCACCTACCATAAATGGTAAGTAAATTTAGAATTGAATTACATTAATTAGAAGCTAAGTATTAACATTTTTGCCGATTTCAATAGGAAAATGTTCCTGATTAAGTGGCAAGTGCACAATAATGCCTCTGGAAAAAAGCTGGAAATTGGATTTAGCAAACAACATTTTGCTTGAGCAAAGTTCATCAAACTTGGGTGAGGTTTTTATACTGTAAGCTTTGTTGAAACTGGATCAGGAAATATATCAGCTGAACATACTATGGATGTATAAAAAAAGACGGACTAATGCCATATTTATGCCACATTAACTGTTGTTGTTCAATATTAATGTAAGGTTCTCTTGACTGGAAAATACATTCAAAATCCAAGTTCCAACAGTAATTTGCCCGGTCATGCAACGTGCTGGGACTTCCACTAAATAGATGTTTGAAAAATATTGTTATCCTTCTTGTCAAATTATACAGTTGGTGTCATAATTATAGTGTTTGTATTATAGAAATATAACTTTTTTATTTCTATGGTTTTATCTCACAGAGGAAGACGAACAAAAATAAAATTAATAATAGCTAAAAGACATATAGTTGACATTGCAATCTTTACCAAAGACTTAATTTGATAAAAGTTTGACTTGAAGTTTAAGGTACCTTTGATTATGGACACTCCTGCCAGCAATGTGTGAATTCCTGTTCTCTCCTCGGTTTGCCACCATGTAGCGTGCAACGTCAACATTTTCTCCACCTTTATCTGACCTCACACGTGATGGCACACCGTAGACATTGGCGGCTTCCAAAAAGCTTCTTAAAACTGTTGCTGCCCGATTGTTGGTGGCAGCACTCAAGTACACGATGAGACGACTAAAGCCGTCAATACCACCATGCACAACAAAACGCCACCTAAAGGGATATGTATAGGCACACATTAAGGTCAATCCACTAATGTATGTACAGACATTTACACATTTAAAAAGGTGCCTTATCCTACTAAAAGTTATAATTACAAAACATAAATCATCTTAATTTTGATAGTAAAAGTAATTTGCATGCAGAGGAATTTGGTGCAATTAATCATTTGATACATTTCATTTATATTTCTTCTTGCAGTGTTTTAACTTGTTTTTATGTCTACAGAATATTGTATGTTGCATTGTTAGAGGAGACTGAGACTTCAGATTTTCCTAACCAACCAATAAAAAAAGCTATCATGCATATGACAATAAAGCCTTTGAATCTTGAAGTCTGGTTTGCATTGAAGCTGATTGATTATAAGAACACTTTAGATGGGCCCATCTTTTGTAACTGTAGTGAAGCGGATGTTTGAGCAATGCTTGAGAGTGTTAATGATTATACTATACCTAATCAGTTTGTGATTTCCGTCGATGTGCCATAAACTGTTCGGTGCTGGTACAAAGTACTTCCTACGCCTTCTTGGGTTCAGCTGCAGAGTGCGAATCAAAACTCCACCTGGATCAACACGCCGCATGGATTCCTGGACACGCTGTCCTGATATATTCGGGAAAATGCAGAGATATGGTGTACTGCAAGTAACATAATGAAAAGTAAAGCATTCCTAAATATGCCAGAATAATGTGATTCATTATCAAGTAGTAAAAAAAAAACACTGCATGGAGGATTATTATAATAATAACAATCCCTTACTTTGTATGCGTATCCCTCGTGCATTCAGGTACCCCACCATCATTTTGTATCCAGAGTTGGGATGATGCTGTAGAATTTGGGTAACAGTTTCATCTAAACTGTTGCCATCTAACAGAGTTAATAGATCTTGGACCCTGATCATCAAAAATAACGAAACAATAGTAAGTCACAATAAACAATAGTCACCTTGTAAGTGCAGCCTTTACATGTTCATAATTTAACTGTAATGTGTATTTTCTAAGTGTACTAATTATTATTGTTGTAATGTTTCATGCGTGCAATATTTCGTCTTTTATTTTGAAGTCCAAGCTCACATCTCGTTATGCTGTTCTCGCGTGAGTTAGAGAGCGAGAACATGAGAAGCACCCTCAGAGTAAGATGCACGGATACTTAAAGCTCCGTTAGTTGTGTATTCTTATACATATAAGTTGTGAAGAGAACTGAAGAATACTTCCCTCTGTTTACAGAGCATGCAGCCCAACGAGTTTTCATGGTGGATTCGGAGGAATAAACCCGTTATGAGAAAGCCACTTGTGTCTGCCTGTGCTTCGAGGGAATTACGCACCTTTTGCACTGTACAATCAAAACACATCAGAATGAGTGTGTTGCTCTGTACTAACCTGCATTGAAAGATTTAAGTGTCATCTGAAACAAATTAGCTGGTCTCTTAAACCTCATTACTATTATTAGGCCTACATCATGTCTGAGGTAATGGTACCTTTGTTTTGTGTACAAAGCATGTTTGTATCTTTGCCCCGACACATGTCTATCTGATGTATTGGTTTCAACATATAAATTGCCTATTACCATTTTAATAAATATGTAAACAATCTATAAACAAGTAGGCTAATTTGGATGGAGAAAATGTAGGCTAATGAAACGTTATCATTACTAAACACAAGTTAATGCGTCTAACAAATGTGTACACTGATATGGCCTACGCCAAAACAATAAAAGTAAGGAAATCCAGACAAAAAACGTGAAAGAATGCGGATTAAACCTACCGTATCCCGTTCTGTGTCATCCTCCGACGAATTGTTCTTTCGCACACCCCGAACACCTGCGCGATGTCCCCAGCGGTGTGGCCCCAACGAAGATGTGCTTCAATAACGTTTAGGGGCAACATGTAAGATGGACGCCCAAGGGGCGCCTCCTCTGTTTCCGAGAAGATTTCAAGTTGGCGGGCAACCTCTTGAAGACTCTCAAACACAGCTGGGTTAACATCCACATCCATGTCGAGCTGAGCCAAGTCCTCTATACATCGTTCCACACGAAACTGGACATAGTCTTTTGGTTCTCCGTTCTCTAAATGGTCCGCTAATGATCGTAAATGATCTCCAATGGCTCTTAAATCAATATCCATAAATAAACCTTACAACTGTGGATAAACCATGGATGTATAAAGATAAGGGCTAAACAGTAAAGCTCCTGCATTCGAATAAGCGCGGTTATCCAGGCGTTAGTAGTAGAGCCCTCTGCCAGAAATGATCACACACTCCTGTAACCAATCCTGCTTCAGACTGAGGTTAGGACCGCCCACCTCATTAGCATACGGACACATAAATACATAAACAAATAAATGTATGTCTCGTAAATGTAGAAATAAATGAAAGATATATAATAACGTGTGTTCTGTTTTATTTTCGACTTTTATTTATTTATTTATACATTGATGTATTTATTTCCATATTTATTTATGCATTTATTCTTTTATTTATTTATTTGTGTATTCATTTCAACATTTATTTATTTCTGTATTTATTTCGTCATTTATTTATTCCTGTATTTATTTATTTATTTACGTATTTATTTATTTATTCCTGTATTTCTTCATACATTTATTTATTTATACTTAAGTCATGTTCCGTCCTCCATACCCAGCACCTTCGGAACGAACTGTCCAACAACAAAAGTTCTTCGAATTGTATTACCATGACCTCCAGCACCACGGTAAAAAATCGTGGTGTTATTTGTGACGAGGATTTGTCTTTTAAATCCCATATAAAGCAAATTTCAAGGACTGCCTACTTCCATCTACGGAATATTACATTACATTACATTACATTGCATTTAGCTGACGCTTTTGTCCAAAGCGACTTACAATAAGTACATTCGACCAGGAAGACACAACCTTGAAGAAAACAGAATCATATAAGTACATCAGGTTTCATAGAGCCAAACATTTCAAGTACTACTCAACTGGCTTTAGGTAAGCCAGTCCTTTATTAGTATAAAAGTGCTTTGTTAATAGTTCTAACGCTCGAAGTGGAGTCGAAAGAGATGAGTTTTCAGTTTGCGCCGGAAGATGTGCAAGCTATCTGCCGTACTGATGTCAATGGGGAGCTCATTCCACCATCTTGGAGCCAGGACAGCAAACCCACGTGTTTTTGCCGATGGGAACTTGGGTCCCCCTCGCAGCGAGGGCGCAGCGAGTCGTTTGGCTGTTGCAGAGCGTAGTGCACGCGCTGGGGTGTACGGTTTAACCATGTCCTGGATGTAGGAAGGGCCAGATCCATTCGCAGTATGGTAAGCAAGTACCAGTGTCTTGAAGTGGATTCTAGCAGTTATCGGAAGCCAGTGAAGGGAGCGGAGGAGCGGAGTGGTGTGGGAAAATTTAGGAAGGTTGAAGACCAGACGAGCCGCTGCATTCTGGATGAGCTGCAGAGGTCGGATGGCACATGCAGGTAGACCAGCCAGGAGGGAGTTGCAGTAGTCTAGGCGTGAGATGACGAGAGCCTGGACCAGAACCTGAGTCGCTTTCTGTGTCAGCTGGGGACGTATCTTCCTGATGTTGTAAAGCGTGTATCTGCAGCAACGGGTTGTAGCAGCGATGTTTGCAGTGAAGGACAGGTTGTTATCTAGGATCACACCCAGATTCCTTGCAGTCTGAGTCGGGGAAACAACTGAGGTGCCGATGTTGATTGTTAGGTCAAGAGTGGGACAATCTTTTCCCGGGAGGTAGAGCAGCTCAGTCTTGTCAAGGTTGAGCTTGAGGTGGTGAGCAGACATCCACTGAGAGATGTCAGCTAGACAAGCAGAGATGCGTGCAACGACCTGGGTCTCTGAGCGGGGAAAGGACAGAATTAATTGGGTGTCATCAGCGTAGCAGTGGTATGAAAAACCATGCGGGCTAATGACTGATCCGAGCGAGTTTGTGTACAGGGAGAATAGGAGGGGACCAAGAACAGAGCCCTGAGGGACCTCTGTAGTTAATTGACAAGGGTCGGACTCAGACCCTCTCCAAGTCACCCTGTAGGTACGGTCTTTCAGGTATGAGGTGAGGAGGGAAAGAGCAGAGCCTGAAACTCCATGTTTTTGGAGAGTGCGAAGGAGGATCTGATGATTCACCGTGTCGAATGCAGCAGACAGGTCCAACAGGATGATGACAGAGGAGAGGGATGCAGTTTTGGCAGTGTGCAGTTCCTCCGTGACAGCAATGAGAGCAGTTTCTGTGGAGTGACCTGCCTTGAAACCAGACTGGTGCGGATCCAGAAGGTTGTTCTGATTGAGATAACAGGAGAGTTGTTTAAAGACAGCGCGTTCAAGTGATTTAGACAGGAACGGGAGGAGAGAGACAGGCCTGTAGTTTATAACATCAGACGGGTTGAGAGTGGGTTTCTTTAGGAGAGGGTTTACTCTTGCCTCCTTGAGACTGTTTGGAAAGTGACCAGAAGTTAGAGAAGTGTTGATGAAATGGGTGAGAAACGGTAGAATATCAGGAGCGATAGTCTGAAGGAGGTTTGAAGGGATAGGGTCCAGAGGACAGGTGGTAGGGCGGGCAGAAGTAATGAGGGTAAGAACCTCACTTGGAGAGAGAGGGGAAAAGGAGGTTAGTGTGTTGGTGGAAGGAAGGTCTGGTGACCCAGCGGTGAGTATAGGTGAGTCAGAAAAAGAAGAGCGAATATCATCAACCTTTTTTTCAAAGTGGGTAACAAAGTCGCTTGACAGAAGTGAGGAGGGGGGAGGGGCTTTTGGAGGGTCCAAGAGGGTGGAGAAGATGGAAAATAGTTTTTTAGGATTGGAATAGGACGATTGGATCTTATCTTGAAAGAAAGTGCTTTTTGCCTGAGAGATCGAAGCAGAGAAAGAGGAGAGGAGAGCCTGATAGGTTAGGAGGTCGTCACGGTGTTTGGATTTCCACCGTTTCCGCTCTGCTGCCCTAAGGACGGTTCTATTAGCACGCAGTGCATCATTTAGCCAGGGAGCAGGAGGGGACTGACGAGCCTGCCGAGATGTGAGAGGACAGAGAGAGTCCAGAGAGGATGAGAGAGTAGAGAGGAGAGTTTCTGCAGCAGAGTTTGGTGGCAGGAGTTGGAACGAGTCAGAGGAAGGGAGGGCTGAGAGCACCGACGAGGCAAAGGTAGAGGGGGAGAGGGAGCGAAGGTTACGGCGGACAAGTGCAGGATGAGAAGAGATTAGTTTGTTATGTTTCGAAAGGGGTAGAGAGAATGAAATGAAGAAGTGATCGGATGTGTGGAGCGGGTTTACAGAGAGGTTAGAAGTAGCGCAGTTCCTTGAGAATATGAGATCAAGGACATTGCCAGCTTTATGAGTCGGTGGGGACGGAGACAGTGAGAAAGCAAAGGCGGTTAACAGAGATGTTAGTTCGTCTATCTTCCCCGTCTGGAGGTTGAAGTCTCCGAGAAGTACAGCGGGAGGGCCAGTTTCAGGGATATGTGAGAGGAGATTATCTAATTCCTCCAAGAAGTCCCCCAAGGCGCCTGGTGGATGGTAGAGAACAACAATGGTTAACTGTATAGGATGGGTTACTGTGACGGCATGGAATTCAAAGGTGGAAGGAGTGAAATTAGGTAGTTTGAAGAGGGAAAAGCTCCATTTGGGAGAGAGCAGGAGACCAGTGCCACCTCCTCTGCCAGTGAGTCTGGGTGTATGGGAGAAGGAATATACAGTGGAGAGAGCTGCTGGGGTGGATGTGTTGGATGGAGTAATCCAGGTCTCAGTGAGAGCAAGGAAATCCAGAGACTGCAGGGAGGCGTAGCCAGAGATGAAGTCAGCCTTAGGAACAGCTGACTGGCAATTCCACAGGCCACCAGAAACTAGATGTTGGATCTCAGTGGAGCACGTGGGATAGACGAGAGCAGGCCGGTTATATCGATTAGGAGATACACGGGGCCAGTGATAATTGCGAGAAGACACATGAACAGGAATGGAGAAAATACACATGATTATGGCATGAGGGGCTAGAAAACTAAAGAAAACAATAATGCAGAAACACTAATCCATGCTTTTATCACCTCCAGGCTGGATTATTGCAATTCCCTTTTATCAGGCTGTCCGAACTCATCATTAAAGACCCTTCAATTAATACAAAATGCTGCAGCACAGGATTTAACAGGAACAAAGAAGATGGACCACATCACTCCTGTTTTAGCAGCATTGCACTGGCTACCAGTTAAGTCCAGGATTGATTTTAAAATACCTTTACTCACATACAAAGCGCTAAATGGTCAGGGACCATCCTACCTACTGTACAGGATCTTTTAATCTCCTATTGCCCCTCTAGGGCATTAAGATCCCAGAGTGCAGGTCTGTTGGTGGTTCCCAGAGTCCACAAAAAAAGGTCAGGTGCTAGATCATTCGGCTACCAAGCCCCGTTCCTCTGGAATCAACTTCCAGTGACCATTAGGGAGGCAGACAGTGTCCACACATTTAAGAGTAGGTTAAAGACTTTCCTTTTTAGTACAGCGTACAGTTAAGACTGGTTTTAAAACCCCCTTTTATACATCCTCATGGACCCTTCGTTTTATGGAATTTTATTTATTGTACTCTCACTGTATTTGTGTCATTGTGTTATGTTTCTTTTTAAATTGGTATTACTATTTTCACATTGATTAGTAATTGATAAGATACGTTTGTTGTTTTTACATTGTTTTACATTGCCAATTGTGTTTGTTGACTTGTGAAGCCCTCTGAGACAAATAGGATTTGTGATTTTGGGCTATATAAATAAACTTGAATTGAATTGAATCACGCGACTTTGGGATTTGTAGTCTTTCTAGTTGCGTATTTTTCATAGTCTTATATTTCAACAGTTTTACGAAAAACTGTGACTTTTTTGACATGGAAATTATTTTTTAAATTGACAAACGTCATATGTGTAATTCGTGGCACAATTCAAACGGGATCGAAAGATAAGTTTTCTCTCTCCATTGACTTCAATTCATAATTTTTCCGAAATAAGGTCCCATGGACCGGAAGTAAATGGGCTTGACTTTGCCACTCTATTCACCTGCAAGACTAGGCGCTGGTGCGGGACTGTAGCAGGATGTGGCGCATATTTTAGTTGACCTAATTAAAACCGTTTTGTTTTTTATTTATGTGTCACAGTATCACCTCAAAATACAAGATACGAAACATTTTCAACCGTGCAACAAAATATAAATAGTCCTTCAAATACTTTTATTTTATTTCCTTCTTATTTTTGACTAAGCTCAAGGGAGCCAGAGCAGAGGGCTTAAAGAGCCGCATGCTGCTCGAGAGCCGCGGGTTGGCGACCCCTGCCCTAGACATAGCTGTCAGGGAAACAATCATGTATAAACTATAAACAAGATACCCTTATAGTACTTGTAATGAAAAGATCGCAATGTAGATCAAGTCAATCAAGTCAGGAAGTTCTCCCAGCAACATTGTTGTTCTTTTTTGAGTTCTTTATTGCATTTACAGGACATATATTCCAAAGGTTAAACAAAGATATTGATAACAGATCCAATAGCTTTTTGAAAAAGCAGTATGGTGTCACAACAAACATGCCAACTGTGCAATATTTGTCTATAGTGAACATGTTGTGCTTTTCAATGTTGTTCAAAAAGAAAATAGTGCAGTGTTTTAATATTAAAGCTCTGTTTTGATATTTGTAATTTTACTTAGCTTGCAAAGAGTGCACGCACAATTTAATTTGTTCCAAAATTATTAAGGCCATATTTGTATCATACTGCTCCATTATGCTAATTATCAATGTAAAAAATGATGTGCTGACCAGCCATATTAATTATTATGATACTTGACCTTATACATGATAAAAGGCTTCATAGCCTTCTATGATTTTGTGATAAAATAAGATAGAGCTTTATTGTCTCCCTTAGGAGAAATGTGTCTTGGGCATCGAGATAATAAACATAAAACATTCAGGTCAATCAATCATAGATACAGAACAGAGATCACATATCACCTGGCAAAGAAACAAACAAGAAACATATAGGTACAGCACTGTCCCTTTTGCACATATCCCTATTGCACATACACAATCCATTTTCACTTTCCCTATTGCATTTATACATAATCAAATATTGTACTTTTCCCTATTGTATTTATACATTAATCAAATATTGCACCTTCCCTACTGTATTCATACACAAATTAATATTGTACTTTCCCTATTGCACCTATGCACAGTGTCCGTAAAATTGCACATATCCCTATTGTGTCCATACCTATTTACACATAATGCACTTTCCCTATTTAACCTTCTCGATTGCACATACTACACTGTAAACATTTCACCTCCAGATAAAGCAATCTGAATATTTGTGAGCGCTTGTAATTGTGATAAAAGCCTTCAAACTATTAAAATTATGTTCGTAAGGCATTATAAACAACAGTGTTATCAGAACCGTATACAGTAGTATAATACTTATGAATAACTCATTCATGTTTGACAATCAGAGTCTACTTTCCAAATGCACCACAGGTTTCAAATGTTCTTTTCTTGTGATGCATGGGCACTTCATGCTGGAGTGATGAAAGACAACAAAGATAAAACAATAATTAGCTTTTAAAAAGGAACACAAAATAAAAATAAATAGACTGATGACCATCATAACATCCTCTCAGATTGACATGGATAATGACAATGAGAGATGCTGGGTTTTGGTGGTTATATTAAAGGTACCATGAGATTTTTTGCTGAAGTTTTCTTTGTTCTAATTCATTGCTATAAGTGAATACATATATTCAAACACTGCTTTCTCGGTATGAATGTGTCAACAAGGACAGTTTAAGTATTGAGAGTGTTTTGCACGTTTCTTTAACTCTAAAAAGTGAATTATTTTTCAGCTATAGTAAGTGTATTTAATACTCAGTGTAATTTCTGTGTTTTATAATGTTGATGAAGAAATAGTTAATGCAAGATACCCACCTTTCTCTCTTTTGCATTTGCTGAATAGATTGAGGTAGAGGTTTTCCAAAACTCTCTGGCAGGAAAAAAGCTGCAAAGGCGGAAACAACAGCCAGAGTCCCCAGTATGATATAAGGCAGGTACTCAAAAGATTCCCCTGTATAAGGAGAAGGCAAAATCAGGAAGAGGAAGATCTGGGGTCCTACACATGTGCATTGTAAACATTTACAGGATGTGAAATCAGAGCATCCAAACTATTAAAATGGCAGGTTATCTTCACAAATTCAATATGTTAAGATAGGATCAAACAAATATCTACCATTGAAGACGAGTTTACTCACTCAGCTGTAACAAAAAAGGAGCAAGGCAGCTTCCTATTCTTGAAACAGTAATGCAAACGCCTTCCGCTGTGTTCCTGAGCACTGTTGGGTAAAGCTCTGCAGTGTAGGCGTACATCAGGGATGTTCCGTTGGTGATAACAAGTTTACCCAGCATCTCCAGAGCGACAGCCAGCTCTGATAAAGCTGAAACATAAGAAATGGATGGATTAACAACAGAATGTGAGTGTTTTTTTATCAAATGTTCTCCAACGCTTTATTCAAGTCCTCCTCTTTCTCTTAGCAATTATTCCACTTACAAAGCCTTCTTAAAAAGGAACTCTCTCTCATTGAGACCTTGTGTCTCAATGAGATCTACACCTGTATAAATAAAGGCTAAATAAAAAATACATATATATATATATCTGGTAATATCAATAAGTATGGTTTTAAGTTCTAAGTGATGGCACGAGAAGTAAGTGGGAGGGAAGTGACCCCTAAGTCCCTTTCTTAATTTGGCATCATTGCTGGTGTGATCCCACTCTGAAGAAAATCTCTCATTGAGGAAAAAGAAGGACAGCCGGGTCCATATGTATGTCATCATGTAATATAAAAATCACTGGCTGGGAAAATCGACGAGCTAACGGCGTTAGCCTGGAGTCAGATGTAATATTTGGAGTGCAGTTTAATTTGATAATGAGAACATGGCTGTACCAGGATATATCTAATGAGAACATTTCCATCGAGCTTCACCACGTCTTCACCATGAGCCTGAGTGATCAGAGGGTCTCTGTGCTGTGGAGGACGCTCTACCTTGTTCCTGTGCTTAAGACGTCCCAGTGGCTACTCTCATTGCACATTTTTACTCTTACTTCCTATGTTTGTATAAATAGTTATTGACTTTAGTCCAATATGGTGCACCTGTAATAAAACAGAGCTGTGTCCGGGTCCTCGGCAGTAAATCGGACCCATTTCCGGTGAGGGTTGGCCTCCGCCAGGGCTGCGCTTTGTCACCAATCCTGTTTGTAATATACATGGATCGGATTTCGAGGCGTAGTCATGGGGGAGGGGGTCTGCAGTTTGGTGGACTAAGGATTGCAACACTGCTTTTTGCAGATGATGTGGTTCTAATGGCTTCATCGGTCTGCGACCTTCAGCACTCACTGGATCGGTTCGCAACCGAGTGTGAAGCGGCTGGGATGAGGATCAGCACCTCCAAATCTGAGGCCATGGTTCTCAGCAGGAAACCGATGGACTGTCCACTTCAAGTAGGGAATGAGTCCTTACCCCAAGTGAAGGAGTTCAAGTATCTCGGGGTCTTGTTCTCGAGTGAGGGAACAATGGAGCGTGAGATGGGCCGGAGAATCGGAGCAGCGGGAGCGGTACTGCAGTCGCTTTACCGCACCGTTGTGACAAAAAGGGAGCTGAGCCAGAAGGCAAAGCTCTCTGTCTACCGGGCCATTTTCGTTCCTACCCTCACCTATGGTCATGAAGGATGGGTCATGACCGAAAGAACGAGATCGCGGATACAAGCGGCCGAGATGGGTTTTCTCCGCAGGGTGGCTGGTGTCTCCCTTAGGGATAAGGTGAGAAGTTCGGTCATCAGGGAGGGACTCGGAGTTGAGCCGCTCCTCCTTCGCGTCGAAAGGAGCCAGTTGAGGTGGTTCGGGCACCTAGTTAGGATGCCACCTGGGCGCCTCCCTAGGGAGGTGTTCCAGGCACGTCCAGCTGGGAAGAGACCAAGGGGTAGACCTAGGACCAGGTGGAGGGATTATATCTCTTCGCTGGCCTGGGAGCGCCTTGGGATCCCCCAGTCAGAGCTGGTTGATGTCGCCAGGGAAAAGAAAGTTTGGGGCTCTCTGCTGGAACTGCTACCCCCGCGACCCGACCACGGATAAGCGGAAGAAGATGGATGGATGGATGGATGGATGGATGGATGTAATAAAACATAATTTCCCCCCGGATAAATTAAGCATTCTGATTGATTGATTGATTGATTGAACCAGGTAGTGACTGCTTACTTTCAGGCACCAGTTGAATGAGATACAGTGACACTCCACCAAGGAGTAAGATACAGATGACAGAGAGTCGGCGTGGGAAGTATTTCAGTGTCAGCCAGCAGAACATGTAGGCTGGTACCTCTACAGCTGCTGAGATGAAGCAGCTGATGTAGGGGTTAGCATGAAGCCGGGATGTGTTCAGGGACAGGCCAAAGTACCCAATACTCAAAGAGAACCTGGACATACACAGACCAAAGAGATGTTTGTTATTAGGTTATGAATATATTGAAAATGTATGATCCAATATGGTTATACAGCTTTGTCAAATGGGGCAACTTCAATCATTAAAGCAGAATATGTTCAAAACCAATGAGCAGGTTTTGGAAAAAGAACACCATTGTAGGAAGTTGTAGCCATGACAGTAGACATAGCTACAAATATAGATGTTGCAGCTAATGGTATGAGTTTATGTTGTGATTTTCTAGTCTACCAACCACTAAAAAGGATGTAACCCCACATAGCATCATTCTTCCATTTGCACACACAATAAAACACAAAAACAGTAATGGCAAGAGCTGAAATGCCAGATGCCAACCTACTCATCAGGACCGTTTAAGGGCCAAGTGCTTTGGAGGAGCCGAGGAGTTGTACCTGCATTCCAACCGTGGGTATTGTCAGAGAATATTTTAATCCGATCTCTTTGTGTCTTGAGGTTCTCAGCTATTCTGAGAAACTGTTAATTTACAAAGATATGCTTTTCGTTAAATCGCATATACTCCTGCCTGTAATGTGAGGAGAACACAGGTCAAGAGGTCCTCCGTCTTCCTGTGGGTGAGGGGTTTGGCACATGTGGGTTTGTAATACAAACGGGTTCTTTGTTCCAATGTCTGGTAATGATTAAGGTAGTAAAGGCGGGCTATCTAGGTCCCTCCTTTTGGGGATATACAGATCCATGTTTAGCTTTCTGTCTTTAGAGTGTTGCTAGGTGGCTCACATGAAAGTGTGATATACTTTGTGATCTCTCCGGCCGTATTCTACTCTCAATAAAGAACAGTGTTTGACTAAAGCCGCTCCAGCTTCCATCCTTTCCTGAGCCTTGGCTCTGCATTGCTGCAAAGAAGTTTCACTCACAGGTATGAATTTAAATCTCATTATCTTTCTTAATAAGGCATACATCTGTAAGAATCATCTGCTAAACTACTTTAATAGGTATGCCGGTGTGATCTAAAATTCAATATGATGGCTGGGGAGTTGTAATAAAGAACACTACTCATCACAGTAATGTGATAACTTCTTCTGCTAATGCATTACCTATTGAGTACATTCTGCTGTCTTTCCCCAATTGCTTCTCTTTACCAAGGAGCTTCATTTGGACGTTTGGAACCAACTACTAGGAGTTACAAGTTCAGTAAAAAGGACATGAACCCTGTTCAGAGTGGATACTCACCACACCAGGCAGAGAATGACAGTTGTGCTTCTGACGCTTTGTGTCTTCACCAGGCTGATAACATTGAGGTGTTCCTGAGGGTGCATGTCATCATCCTGCAAGATAATACAAAAATATAATAATATCAGTCTTACCAGCAGCTAGTTATGTTTTAGCTAGTCTATAACCTACCACTTTGGTGAAGAAGTAAAAATGTCGAACTGTAGGAAAAATAGCTATGAAATTTGAAAAAGGACTGCTCTTTACAGAATAAATAGTACTATTAAAGTTGGCCTTAAGCATATCAATTGGCTCCTATGTCTTTACAATCCTATTCAAGCCAGACTCACATGTGCCCTGTAATCTTTAAAGATGACCGTTGGAGCCTCAACTCTGTTTGTCTTAGCCGCCTTTCTCACTATGGCCTCGGCCTCCTCCACTCTTCCCTGAGAGAGCAGCCAGCGAGGAGACTCCGGGATTAACCTTCCTCAGCATTAAAGAGAGAACACATTTTTAACCAGTGGGTTTATAAAACAAAAAAGAAGATGAATGCAAGTTAGAATATTTCAGGGAAATAGCCAAATTGTTGTTACTCTCTCCTGACATTTTGCTGTTAGAAGTACAACTTACCACCAGAGAGGGATGTAGAGCACGCCAGGTAGAGAGATAGCTAGAGAGAGAGATTTCCAGTCCCTTAAACAAAAAGCTATGAGAGGCAGAATCATGTAGCCAATGGCAAAGCCCAGACACACACCCATAGATGAGAATATGAGCCGAACATCGCCAGTCAAGATCTCAGTGCCTGAAGACAAAGAGAAATGTATGATAGAAGCAAGATGTACATGCAAATATATGCATATCATTCAGAATCAGACATATCTTTAAATAGTACTTTTCTTTGTTACAAGAGCATTTACCCAAAACAAAACCAGATACATAGTTGGATATCTGTCCCAAACCATTGAAGAAAATGAGGATGGTGAAAACCGTCCAAGAAGGTGAAAAAGCTTGACAGAAGGAAAAAATTGTCTGAACTGCCATGGTGGCGAAGAAAACAGGCTTTCTTCCAAACCTAGAGTGACAAATCAAGGAAATACAGATGACAGAATACAAATTATACAAAATAACATACTAAATATAAACAAGAAATGTTTCATCAACTGTATGGATCAGAGATCATCCAGCATTATGTACCAACATAAAATGTTACAATAAGTGACGTAATACTGAGGGAAACGCCTGTTGGATTTGTAGACTTAAATATTTTCAGTGATTTCTGTACCTGTCTGAGAGCTGTCCTGAGATGAAGGATCCAACAAGAATTCCCAGGAAGCAAGCTGTGGAGGTGAACGGTTGCTTCCACTGTTCACTGCACACCAGGTCAAACTGGAATATCCATACATGAAAAATGTAGCAATGAATGCAATGACCAAAGGAATCCATGTCAAAAACAACCTGATGAATATAAGTACAATATTCAGTTGCTGACTAGCCTGGATGCTATACTTAACAGCTCCGTGATATAATGGTTTATCTGATTGAATGTATAACCATTTTGTCAAAGCTGCAAACGGTAGTATGTGAATGAGCATCGTATTTGTAGAATTGTATCCTTTTATCAAAAGGAATTCTCTATCATAGCATAGGAAATGAAGAAAAACAACAGCTCAAACATCCTCTAAACAGGGTTAACTGGGAACATGTTATTCTTATCACCAGTGGCGGCCGGCCCATATAGGGGCGCTAGGGGCGCCGCCCCCCCTCTTCCCACATATTTGATTGTCATTAAAAATAAATAAAAAAATATATTTAAAAAATATATATATATATTTTTATTGAACAAGGTAAATATTATATAGTTGGTATCAGTAAAATGTATAATCTACAATAAAATCTCGTTTAAAATTGTTTTACGATGTCTAAAGTTACTGATAAGTCACATGTTTCCTGCCTGGCCGCAGCGTATACCTCTCTCGTCCGGGCGGTAAGAAAGAGCCCTCAGCCAGAGCAGCAGCAGCCAACAAGCTGACTGTTGCTATCTGTAAACTATGCTGCCGAAACATCATTTCAGCCAATCAGCGTTGTCAGATCTGATGCTCAAAGGGCGCCCTGTCAGCACCCTGGCCTGTGTGTCTGTGAGTTGTTTAGACTCGTATCCAAGGTGACGCTACAGTAGTTGTCGAGGTTGTCTGCAGGTGGAGACTACGGTGCTAGTGGGTCGCCGGAGCTGTAGATTAACATTTACATGCTTATTGTAGTTGTAAGGGCAATGCCTGTAGCACCATGAAGCATATGTGTGGGCTGGACCTGTATTTTACAAGAAAGGAGTGAGCAGAGGGTCGAGTTGTCAATTCTTGTTCAGTTTTCATCTTCCTTACCCTCTCAAACTTTGAGTTGCGCGCGCTGCTAAAGAGACGCGCTACCATGGAAACCAAACAATGGTGTAGCTGTATTAAAGTCTGAATGGAAACAGTCGTGAGTAAATCTGATTTTGTCAGAAATCGGGAGAAATGCGGGAGTTTCCCGCGAAAATCGGGAGGGTTGGCAAGTATCATACACACACGCACACACACACCCACACACACACACACACACACACATAATGTTCCTATTTAGTCTCCTGATTTTACATGGGAATTAAATAATTTGAGTGTTCCCAAAGCACCAGTGTTCTGCAGTTTGTGTGGGCCTACTGTACTGTTGCACAGTTTTGGAAGATTCATAGCTAACCACACTGAAGATTATGGATTATCTCATATTTTTAAGCCTCAATTTGTCGTCCGTCGCCCCCCCCCAGCTAGCTAGCACCAGATGCTAACAACAACAATGCACGTAAGGTCTCTCCCTCGCTCGCTCGGGCCACACATACACACACCCTCCCGGTCCTCCCAATAGCTAGTCGGTGCCTGCCGGTGAGCGTGGAAGTGTGGTCTGCCACAAGCGGGCGGTAGGAGCGGGGCTGTCAGCATCAGCTTGTAGATGGTATTTTAAACTCGATGCGCTCTGAAACTACGGGGCGGCCGAGGAAAAAAAATACACATGCGTTAATCGCGTTAAAATAATTAGTGGCGTTAAAAAATTGTTGCGTTAACACGTTATTAACGCGTTAACTTGACAGCCCTAGTTTAAACAGGTTATTATTTTACATTTTGAATGGCCTTTTCAGCTTCCGTTGGTGAGTTCAGCCCATCTTTTTTTAAATTAGCAAATAGTCTTAGAGAACATGACTAGCCCTTCATATCAAATCAAATCAAGTTTTATTTATATAGCACATTTATAAACGATTTTTGGTCGAGCCAAAGTGCTGTACATAAAATAAAAATAGCCTACAGTAGAGACACTTTACAGTAAATACAACAGCACAGAGTGTTCAGAATATCAGTATGAGAAAAACGACACCCTCTATCCTTAGACAGAGATGTGTACAGAGATCACCTTGTAACTTGTCACCTATTTAGTCCATAGATCTAACATTCTAGAAATGTTAAGAATAGAGTCTGCTCTCTACAGCTTAAACTATATAGGGACACACACCTCAGAGACTACGGTAGACTGGTAGATGTCTTTGCTGTAGCTCCACCCGTCCACACAGCCCTCCTGTTCCAGTTCGGTGAGGTTGACGTCCCTGCCAGGAATGAAGCCCTGAGCAGAGAGGTTTCTGACAACATCCAGCCTGTACCTGCTGCACCTGCTCTGCTCCTGTTTCCCATTCACCACCTAACAGTCACATTAACATTATTAGAGTTAAAAGCAAAAATTCAATCAAAACGAACTTGCCCATGTCAAGTGTGGTGCCATACCGTGTAATAAAAAAGTAGAAATTGTGAAATGTGATCAAGTACTGTACTTAAAGAGCAACTTGCAGGTTAGACACACCAGTGAATAAATGTGTAAGAAAATGATCAATACACTAGATTTTCAAAAACATATACAGAAATATACACTACAGTGACATCTGGGGGCGTTTTAGTAAGACATTTTTACTTCCGCATAAACAAGCCTCCGCACGTGACCTCCCGCGTGTGACGTAACATGGGGGAGAACGGCCGGTCTAACGTATAGTAATGGGCATTTAGATTCCCTTCGGGGACACGAATCTTTTGATTCAGTTCACTTGAAAGATTCGTTCATTGATTCGTTCACCGGTTCGCGAACGACTTCTGGTGATTTGCACATTCGCGAACGATTCGTCTTTGTACTTACTGCCTTATCTTTCTTACAGTGCAGACGCTTTTCTGCTTGCTCCTGCCTCTGCTCCTGCCTCTGCTTACTTTTTATGCTGATTTTCCTATTCTTATTCTCTGAAAACTTCGAACAGCGGCTCCTGGACATTAACTTATCACTGGGACAGTTCATCTTCGTAAATAGACGAAGGGTTTCAGCCATATTTCAACATTTTTACGACGACCTCAGTCTTACAGTAGCGTGGCCTAGCAACAGCTAAAGCCTGGTAGGCTACTGCATGCTATTTAGCTTAAGCTAGTTGGTAGCAAAATGCCTCCGTTCTCTACAGATGACTTCCACAAACTTATACAGAAGATAGCTGTGTTGGAAATGAAAATGCAACGGTTGGAAGTTAACGTGGAAGTGAATGGACTATGTCATGGGAATGACACCACTTTACCAGTGTTGCAAAAATAATGGAGAAGGGTATGCTAACTCACAGCTAGTTAGCAGCTACAAGGATTCCAAGGAACAGGAGGGCTGTGTACCGGGTAATAAATCTACAAGTGGTAGTCCTCCCTGGAACTCTCTGGGTGCAAAGCCTAAGAGTAAATCATTTCCATGGGATTTGGGAGGACGGATAACAGGCAGAGCCCAGCGCTCTGAAATCTGTGATGCGACCGGCTGGCCTGCATTGTTATCACCCAGGAAGAGCGCCTCTTCAACCCCTATTCATACTAGGAAACAGCAGTGGACAGCTGCTAAAGGGAGAATTACAAACAATCCTCCTAAACCACCAAGTGTGCCAATCCAGAACAGATACGCTCCGCTGACCGAGAACCGGAGATCTGATGACCTGGATAACCTGTCCTCTTCACACAGCAGGGTAAGGACCAATAGCTACTCCAAAAGTAAAAGGCTAGAGGGAAAGCTAACGACTGGGCCTGAAACTCTGATTGTGGGTGACTCTGCTGTAAGAGATGTAAAAGGTCTGTGTAATAAGAACAACACCAAAGTACTCTTCCAAGGATGTGGTCTCTGACTTGGCTGAGAAGATCCTGCATATTGGGGCTGAACATCCGACTGTGAAGAATGTCTTACTACACATTGGAACAAATGATGTTGTGAAACAAGAGTCAGAAGTGCTGAAAGAAGACTTTAAATGTTTGTTGGAAACTGCCAGCTCTCTAAATGCAGAGGTGTTCATCAGTGGCCCTCTACCGCCAGTCAGAAGAGGAGTGGAGAGATTCAGCAGATTGTTTGCACTGAACACCTGGCTTTCAACTGTCTGTACTGACCATTCTGTTCATTTTATTGACAATTTTAACTTTTTCTGGGATCGCAGACATCTTTTCAAGGCAAATGGAGTTTGCCTGAACAAGTCAGGAGTGAAATTGTTTATCTCTAACTTATTCAACTGCCTGCGTTATCAATCTGTTCCCTCTGCCAAGGACAAGCGGCAAGAGGAATCAAAACAGGAGAAAGACAACACATCGCGCAGAAAACCCTGAAGAATTATCACTGCATCCGCCTGAGGAATGTTCTGATTATGGGAGACCTATGAGACACATGGAGGAGTCTCCACTGCCAGTCAACCCCCCCCCAGAGGTTTGGCAACGATTCCTTCCTGGAGTTCAAAGACCAAACTAAGGCGATACGCAGGATTGGCAGCATATCCTTTACCCCCGCTCCTCAACGACGCCCACCAAAATCACCGCAGAGACGCGCACCATCTCCCCCGTCTTCATCCCTGTGCCTACGTCAACCACCTCCCCCCCCTGGCAGCATGTCCTCTACACCCGCACCATCTCCCCCGTCTCCATCACCGTGCCTACGTCAACCACCTCCCCTCCCTTCAAGAAAGCATCTGCAGTCTCCGAAGCCTGATAAGGATGTGTTGGTACTAAACGCTGCAAACTGATATTTGTTGGGTCCAGGCTCAAGGGCGTATGGTACTCTCAACTCTTTCCAGGACATGCTGGGGCCCTGCCTGCCAGTAGCTTTGCCGATATCTGTGTTGATAGGTAATAGATTAAGAGCGGTGAATCATCTTAGAAACAGGAAGCGCTCAAACGTTTGTGTGAGTTTATCTAATTTAGCAGTGATTCCATGTCAGCCACAGCTTGTTACAAAAAACATGACTGATAGTGTGTTTAACAAACTTAAACTAGCTTTATTAAATGTCAGGTCTTTGGCAGGAAAAACATTTTTAATCAATGATTTTATCACTGAGCACAATCTCGATTTTATGTTTTTAACAGAAACTTGAATTGAACAAAATAACAGTGCAGCTGTTTTTATCGAATCAACCCCTCCCAACTTTAGTTTTATGAGTAAGGAAAGAATGCATAAGAAAGGGGGTGGAGTTGCTATTCTGTTCAATGATTCGCTTCAATGCAGGGAGACATCGTATGGAAACTTTGATTATTTTGAATATGTGGCCCTTCAGCTGAAATGCTCCTCTCGAGCTCTGTTCCTAAATATCTATAGACCACCCAAATACTGTGCAAGCTTTTTTGATGACTTTACTGAACTGCTGTCTATAGTGTGTATTGACTTTGACCGTCTAGTCATTGTTGGTGATTTTAACATCCATGTTGACAACCCCCAGGACAGAGGGGCAAAATAACTGTTTTGTGTTCTTGATAGCTATGGACTAACTCAGCATGTGACGGAGCCCACGCACAATAAGGGGCACACTCTGGACTTAATTATCTCAAAGGGTCTGAATATCTCTAAGGTTGTGGTGACTGATGTTGCACTCTCTGACCATTCCTGTGTTTTTTTTGAGAGCTCTATTTCTGTTCACAAAAATGTTCAAAAAGAGGTAACCACAAAGCGATATTTAACTGAAAATACTAAGGAAATGTTTACTCAGAATAAAAAAAAAAATGAGCTAGTAGATCATTTTAATTCAAAAATTAAAAATGTTATAGATGCCATTGCTCCAACTAAGGAAAAGGAAGTGTCTGGCAAGAAAATATCTCCATGGAGAAAGGCCATGACCGTGAGAGCAGAAAAAAGAGAATGTCGAAAAGCTGAACGCAGGTGGCGAAAAACAAATCTCCAGGTTCACTTTGAAATCTATAAAGAGAGACTTGGCCTTTATAATTTGGAATTGAAAAACGCACGACAATCGTTCTTCTTTGACATCATTACCAAAAACAAAAACAACGCACGTGCCTTGTTTGCTACCGTCGACAGACTAACTAACCCCCCAGTGTCAGTAGCCTCTGAATTTCTATCCACCAGGGCGTGCAATGATTTTGTCTCCTTTTTCACTGACAAAATTCAGAAAATCAGACAAGCAGTCAGTGCCTCTGTATCAGGAACAGCAAATGTGTTGTCTCTGTGTCCACTTAACATCAATTCAAACACCATGACACAATTCCATCAGATTAATGATAAAAACCTAGAGGACATTATACAACTTCTGAAATCCTCCTCCTGCTGCCTTGATATTATTCCAACAGGATTTTTTAAAGATGTTTTGCCTTGCATGGCCTCAGATCTACTTCATATAGTAAACAAATCTCTTCACTCAGGTATTTTTCCACAGGCCCTGAAAACTGCAGTCATTTAACCGCTCTTAAAAAAGAATAATCTAGATGCTTCATTAATGAACAATTACAGGCCCATATCAAATCTCCCATTTCTAGGTAAAATCATTGAAAAAGTTGTTTTTCAACAGTTGAGTAATTTCTTGCATTTAAATAATTGTTTCGATGTGTTCCAGTCAGGCTTTCGTCCAAACCACAGCACTGAGACTGCTCTTGTAAAGGTCTTTAATGACATCCACTTAAACACAGACAGTGGCAGAACTTCAGTGTTAGTATTATTAGATCTCAGTGCTGCGTTTGACACTGTTGACCACAGCATATTACTAGACCGACTGGAAAACTGGGTGGGACTTTCGGAAACAGTTCTAAATTGGTTTGAATCCTACTTAAAGGACAGAAACAACTTTGTTTCTATAGGTAAATACACATCTGAGTTGACAAATATGTCATGTGGGGTTCCTCAAGGCTCCATCTTGGGACCTCTTCTCTTTAACATCTACATGCTACCACTGGCTCAGATAATGAAAAACAACAAAATAAGTTACCATAGCTATGCAGATGATACACAAATGTACGTAACAATTTCACCAGGAGACTATGTTCCAATTCAAACACTGAGTAAGTGCATTGAACAAATCAATGACTGGATGTGTCAGAACTTTCTCCAATTAAACAAAGATAAAACTGAGGTAATGGTTTTTGGAGCCAAGGCAGAACGTATAAAAGTTAGCGCTGAGCTTCAGTCTGCAATGTTCAAAACAACAGATAAAGCCAGAAATCTAGGTGTAGTCATGGACTCTGACCTGAGTTTCAACAGTCACATTAAAACAGTTACTAAATCAGCCTACGATCACCTAAAGAATATATCTAGGATTAAAAGACTAATGTCACAGCAGGATTTGGAAAAACTTGTCCATGCTTTTATCTTCAGTAGACTCGACTACTGCAATGGTGTCTTCACAGGTCTCACTAAAAAATCTATTAGAAAGCTGC